GAAACGTTGCTCTGATGTGGCATAGTGATGTCAGGTCTGAGCTGCTGGCATCCTAAAGGTAGGGTTGCGCTGCACCTGTGTCAGTTGACGAGTGGCTTCAGACAGCTTTACCCTCTTTTCCAATAGTTCCGGAACATTCGGACCAAAGAGATGACCGGGAACAAATGGAAGATCTCTCAAGGTTTTCTTACAGTCCTCCGGTAGTCGTGCTTGGGCAAGCCACACTTGGCAGCGGGCTGCCAGAAGCGTTGCTGTAAGACTACCCAGCTCGCGGGTCACATGGCCTGTTGCCAACAGAGCAGTTTGCAGGAATTGTGAAATAGATGGATCCACATTAGCAGGTTCCAGCGTACTGGTGGCAGCAAGAAGTAACTGGCAGACAGTGTTTTCTGCTCGAGTAATGTAGGCAACAGATTCATATGCCTTTTTGAGCAAGGAATCCGTACGGCCACATTGTGCACTGGGACATCGCACATTCCCTCTTAGAGCCTCATCAGGAGACACCACCAATGCTGCCACAGGCTGCTCTATTTCCGGAGCACGACCCACCCCGATAGAATCAGCTTCAGCCATAGATGCTAGAGTTCGAGCAATCTTAGAGCGTCGTTTCGGCGGGCCAGAGCCAGTGAGAGCATTCGAGAATTCAGCCACAAAATCTTTACATGGCGGCATGGCAAACGAAGTTGCAGCTGAGGTCTGTCTGAAAAACACATTCGTTTGGGTAGATTGGACAGGTGACTCATCAAGTCCTAGACGAGCAGCTGCCATTCGAAGCACAGCCAAAGTATCATCAGAGGAGGACTGGGCTTTTCCAGACGATTGAACTGATCCCCCACTAGAACCCTCCGTAGCTGTGTAACCAGTGAAAACAGCCTGAGGTGATGGTTGCGCAGCAACATCCATAGTATCCCCATGATCATGAAAAAAGGAATCTGAAGCACTCGTAGAAAGCACATCAAACTCTGAACGGTGAGAAAAACAAGGGGAATCGAGAGACTCTCCACCAGCTCCTAAATTCTGAACATTCTCATCCTCCTGTGTCATACTCACAGGTGTAGTAGGTGTGGCAGGCTGAAGCGAGTGTAGCAGGCGTTTCAACTCTGCCATTTCTGAAGAAAGCATCGACACCGTCACAGAAAGAGAACGTTTCTCAGCATGTTCATCACTTCGCGATTTGGCCTTCTTTTTAGCTGGAAGAGGAGCACCAGCTGCCGCCGACGCCCTGCGTTTTCGAGTGCGCGTGGAGGCTACATCCAACTGTCCAAGTTTCACCGTTAAATTAGGGTCTAATTCGGCAAGACGGAGCCGCCGTTCCGACATAGGCAAGAGACTGCAGTGCACGCATGGGTCCGTGAGAGCCCTCGCAGATGTTGAATCCCCAAACACGACGGGCAGATGTCATGACCGTCGTCAGGAAGAAGATTATTAGGACACAGCCTACAAGTCAGTGGAAAACCAGTGGCGATCGAGCCGTGAGCCATAATTAGCTACTCGCTAATAACACCCTCGGATAGCACCGTAAGGTTAAGTTAAGCGGGATGAAAAATGATAAAAATAAAATAAAACGATTACCCCTGGAGAACCAACAGGTAATACCAACAATATCAAGAGATAAAAATGTCTAAAATGCCCGGCGGATTGAACCGAGGGACAAAGTGAGAGAAAAAAACAGTCTAATAGAGTCACGGGAGATCGTTAACTCATAGGCGCGGAAAAACACAAGCCACCGGATAGCACCGAGAGGCACAGAGTGTGTCACCGACGAAGCAATATAAACTCACCAGTATTCAAATCCTAGAATGACGAAGACACGCGCTGTCACAGCTTGTGAGGACGAATCTCGCTGCTCTAGTAAGCTGCACTTGACAGCGCGAATCACTCAATCAATACGACCTATCTCAAACAGGCGAGAAAGCGAAAGAGGTAGAGTGCTGAGCTTACTGTAGCTTTACCTCCAGGGCTCAGCATACGTCACGTCACGTGACTTTGTTGGTATATTCTCTCGATCTATCTTAGCTGGCGCTGCGATAATCCATAGTGTTTACACTGCCTCTGGCGGTCAGTAAGAATGAAACAGAACTGTTGTTCCCACACTCAGCGCGCTGCGCTACGCGGGCATTTAAATTTAAAAATGCCATCGTGATGAAGCGCTCATATCCTTCAGGATTTTCCAAAAGACGTAAAAGAAAGAAAAAGAGGAAAAACGCCAAAGATAGCGATAAGTAAACCAGTATTATCTCTAAATACAACTGTCTGACGTTTTTTCACATCTCTGTGAACATAAACCTTGACATCAGTGACCAAACACCGGTAACGTTAGATGTGAGCGTTGTTAGAGGCAACTTTGTTCTGTTTGCAGAATTTAAGCATAAAATACACACTAGGCAACTTCTCGCCCCTTCTCTGTTGTAGTAACTTAGCTGGGTCATACTACGGAAATGTACATTTTTCTGTCCCTAGAAGGCCCGTAGGCGCCGCGAGGCAGCCGAGCTTGGGCCGATTATACATGCTGGCTGACTTGTCCTGACCCATCTGTCACAAGTAAATAACAGATACAGATACGGCTACTGTATACTACTAGCTGAACAGGGCAATTTTGTGACTAAACTATTATTTAGTACTGAACTTGAAAGTCTAAAACTGAAGACTAAATATGAAAAGACAACCAACAAACATCTGGATGAAATTAGCTTTTTTTACCACAAGATGGTGCACTTTCATTAAAAAAGATATTAAAAACGGCACAGAGTGGTCTATTCTCTTTACCACTCAATAATCAGTCTGTTGTCTGCTTTTATAGATTAACCAGCTGACCTGTTGACCTATTTATGGTAATAGCATACACATTTAGTCTAAAACTGATGGTTAATGTTTTAATAGGTCAATCGTGTAGGCTTTAAGATTAGGCCTATAAAACATGTTTTCTATCCCGTCTGCTATATTTACAGTAGGTTACTGCTGCTGCAAATATCCACCAACTGTCTACAATACTATATACTTTTCCTTTGCCTCCTCTTCCTTGGGCCGTTTCTGTTGCTGAAACCCACATGCCAGTTCAGCATGACACTGCACATTCACACACATTCCAACAGGGATGCTGGTCGCTCTTCAAGCACAACGTCTACTTAAGTTAGAGGATACTTTAAGGTTTTTCGGTAACACTTCAGAATGTTCCTTCATTAATGAATATCGACACAGGAAGAAATGAGTAACTCACTATTAAAGTACTATTAACTAACAAGTAACTCTGATTAATAAATTAGTAATAGTGCTCAGTTGAATGTGGTGCTTCATTATTAGCTAATCAGTAACTGCTATTTTCCATACCTACCAGAGATCTACATACAGGTTCATAATGAATGCATCATTTATAATAAAAGGTAATGGTAATCCACTAGTAATGACTCAACTACATCTTTCTAAAGGAACTAATTCTTTGGATCAATATCTAAAGTGAAAACATGATGATAACTATTGACTAAAGTCATTGTAAGCTTTTGAGATTTTGGTAACACTTTACAATAAGGTTCATTATTTAAAATTAGTTAACTACCTTAGCGTGAACTAATAATGAACAATACTTATTCAGCGTTTTTAATCTTACTTAATATTAATGTAAAAATGTAAATACGTTATTAAAATCAAAGGTTGTATTAGTTAACATTATTTACTGCACTGTGAACTAACATAAACACACAATGAACTGCTGGATGATTATTAACTAACATTAACAAAGGTCAATAAATACTGTAACAAATATATTGCTCATTGTTAGTTAATACATTAACTGATGTTAACCTTATTGTAAAGTATGACCGAGATTTTTGTAAGGTTTTGAATAGCAATTCCTTCCGATGGATGTAGTAATACTTGACTCATTATCAATGGGTTCTTTACTAATGGGTACCTTATATTATACATATTATTAATTATGAATCTGTAAATAGTAGTTCTTAGTCTTCAGTGAGGTATGAAAAAAGTAGTTATCTAATGGTTAGCTAAACTACATTCAACTGAGCACTAATAGTTAGCCTACTAATTTGTTAATCAGAGTTTCTTGTCAGTTAATAGTAGTTACTAGAACATTGATAGTGTGTTCCTGTGTCCTTATTCGTTATATGAGGGAAAAGTATTATAAAGTCTTACCAGGTTTGCTTTGTGTGTGTGTATACATCTTCCAATTTGTGATTTATAATGCAGTGAATCTTTGGTTGGTCAGAGTTTGGGTTCTTGCCACTGTCGCCTATTCAACAATTTTATTCACTGCACTGACACTATTGGAGGAGAACTGAACATATTTTGCAGAACTGCTTTATAGATTAAATAAACTAAATTAAAAATTGATGATCTTTACAGAGTTATTGAACCGAACAGAATCAACGCTGAACTGATTTCAACTGAATAATGACTGTTTACTATTTTCCCTTATAGAGCTGCTTTACAGCACTCTAAAAGCTGCTTTGAAACAGTCTGTATTGTAATAAAGGCGACTTGACTTACCAATTATCCAATAACACTGTACGCAAAAGAGTACGTCATTAAAAAATACAATTACAATTTAATTAGTACATTTTTATTATTATTTAGCATTCATCAACGTTAGATAATGTATTCAATCTATTTTATTTTATAAGATGTATTAGCTATATGTATTCAAGTGCAATTTTATTTACACTAAGAAAGGAGATGTAGGGCTTATATAATACAAACAACGTGGAAAAAAAACTTGAAGCTATAGCTTTAATTTGCTATTCATATTTAATTAAATATTTGTAATATCGTGTGTACAACGCAACACAAATTTAACAAGTGCACTTGTGGTTATTTTCCATTCTTCAATATGGAAAATTTAGTAGACAACATGTAGATTAAGCAACGCGTAATGAAACCGCTAAACCACATCCGCTTTATGACGTTTCCTCAGACGAACGTGACTTCAGCCACGGGCCGCAAAGCCACGCCCATCGCATTCATATGCAAATGAGGCGGCTGTAGGAGGGCGTTCCGCGCTTTATAAGCTGCGCGCGTAGGCTTTTCCTCTTACAGCAGCACCAGTTACCAGCCCAGTCTACACTGCATTTAACTGTTACAGCATCTACAGGTAAGACACACACGAGCACTAGTTACTAATATAAAGCACATTAGATAAATAAATGTATAGTCTTAAAAGTGCATATCCGGTGTAGGTTGTTATATTTTTCTATATAATGTAGCCTAGTTAAAATTCTCCTGAATCTACGTTATGACATTCTTCTTCTAACTTATCATAGGATGTAAAATGAGTCTGTTCCACGCTTATATATGAGTGAACTCTGCTGATCGTGCAAGATAATCGTCGTTGCACATATGAATACCAATAAACCTGCATTTTTCACTTATTGGGAACTCAAATACGACTTGTTGCTTCTTGTTTCAAAATAATAAGCGTATGATCAGGTATTGATGTTTAATGCATTTCTCTTTCATGCAGTGATAATTTACGAGCAATGCCTGAGTTTTGTTCATGTTCTGTCATTCTGCTGCTCGGTGCGTCACGCGCGTTCACGACAGATCATCAGATGCACGCGCGCAATGCACTTTTTGCTTCCTATATGCAAAGGTTTCTGGTTCTTACTTGTGTTTTTTAGGGTGCATTTAGTCCGGATGCTTTACATAAAAGTCCCGATTCGCACAATTTGTGCACGAGATGAGTCAGTGTTTCATAGCTCGTGTAGAATTGCCCATATTTATGTCATCGATATGATTCGCCCCTGGTGCGTCATCTTAACACCGGCCTCTGAAAATCGTCATTGGGAATAATGAGAAGTAGCCTAAAACATCCGGACACATTACGGTAATGACATTTTTGTTTTGTATTGCGGTAATGAAATCCGAAAATCTATCTGCGGTAATGAAAATCTTAATAGTCCAAAAATAGGCTCTATTTTTGTTTAAAAAAAAAAAAATAAAATAAAACCCAGATGTTTTCATGGGACTATATGTGTGTGTATATATTTAATTATATATATATATATATATATAAACACAGACGATAATACCAACCGTATTTATTATAAATAAATGGATTCTAAGTTACTCCATTCATCTGTGCATGTTCGACCTCTCAGTGACGGGCATAATTCATTCAGATGTTTCTGTTTTGTAGTGACTGTGACGATCTATATTTCGATAAATATCGATATCGACGATCCATATATGATAAATGACTATAACAGATATTAGAAATCATCTTTGAAGTGTGTGTTTGGACTGCATGTTGAATGACGGGTTTAAATCATGAGAAAGGGACTCTTCAGGTGACCAATTCCTCCTCTTTGCATTAATTCCTCTACGTGCCTCTGTGCACACAACACTGCTGTGGGAGGGGGGTGCACTTGTCAAGAAGATAAAATGGCCACTCCAACCTGTCCTGGAGATCCTCGGCACATTGTGAATGTGTCAATGAGGGAGACCCTGGACAGGTTTGGGAAGCACTGTTGGACCACTCTGTGTCATCATGTAAATGATCAGTCAATACAGTTGTTTTAAAATGGCTTCTTATTCGAAGCAATTCAGCAAATGAAGGATGCATTTTAAAAGCCGGAGTGACCGATGAGACTCTGTCCCCTGTAGCTGAAGATGGCCTCCACAAAAGAGAAACTCATTGCTCACGTGAGTAAGGAACAGCCCGCAGGGCCCACGAACAAGGTGACGGTGGTCGGAGTGGGAATGGTGGGAATGGCTGCCGCCATCAGCATCCTCCTGAAGGTCAGTGAGGTCACGCAATGCATACACACTCATCACTAGAGTATTAGATCACTCACAACACTCATGCTTTGCCATTTAAAAAGTTAAAAATAAAATAATTTATTTTGAAATAGAAAAAAAATATTTTAAAGTTATTTTTAAAATAAACTAAGTAAAGACCTTTTTAAATAATCTAAATGACAAATGTATTTTAAAATAAATGAAGAAATTATTAATTTATTTAAAATAAATTCGGTAAAATTGGACCTTTTAACTTTATCTAAATTTTACATTTATTTTAAAATGCAGTGCAATTGAAAAAAAATTTAAATGATATATCTTTTTTTTAAATTAAGAAATCATTTTATTTTTAAATGAATGTACTGTAGTTAAAGTGGAGCTTTTTGAATTGTTTATTTGAAAATAAATGTGTAATTTAGATGGAGTAAAATTGGGCTTTTTAAAAGAACAACTTTTATTATTGTAATGAAAAAGGACAGAAATGTGCCTTGTGCTATGCACACTCTCAATGAACCATTCTTCCATTGTGAGCAGCCCTCACAACATTTCACAATATGGCTCCCTCATCATTTCCTGTCACATCTTAATTGTTCCTGTAAAGAACTTGTTCCTGTTGAAATCTTGAATGAAAGTTTGTTTTATAAGGTAAACAATTATTATGTGCCAATAATGTTTGGACAGTTTGTGCAGGTCCAAATGCTAGAGTATGTTGTGTCCAATTTTTGTACTTCCTATACTTCCATCAGGAATGTGCTCATGTTTTTCTGTCCTGAATCCTCAATGGGGGGTAAAGCTGCTGCAGATCAAGTAAATAGACCTTATTCAGAGCAGCGCCATGACAGGTATGAAAGTGAGTCTGTGAGGGATAGACTTACCATGTTTCCAATGGCATCCGCTGTAAAAAGCTGAATAAAGCGGCTAAATTACTTACAATTTTCCACAGCTTACATTGTCGGGAGTTTTTGGTCAACTGACATTTCTTGGAAAGATATTTTTCCAGTGTTTCATGAGCAGAACAATCCGAAAACAGATTAAATAACAGTACAGCCCATTGAAGAGATGCAAGTCTATCCCTCACAGCCTCGCTTTCATTCTCATTAAAAATCAAAGATGGCGCTGCCGTGCAGGGCCTGAAATTAACTTTTTCGGCCACCGGCCACTGTGGCAGGTGGATTTAAAAATTCAACTGCCACAGAGACTTTTTACCAGCCACTTTTTTTTGCCTCATATTTTGCCTCAGCCAAAAAATGGTAAAAAAGAACAATATTGTGAAATTTCTGTTTTTTGGGTTTTTTTTTTTTTTCACGTTTATATAAAGGTGAAAAAAAAAACGGGAATTTCACAACATTGTTCTTTCACTTGTAAGAATACACATTTAAGTGCGGTCAAGTAATAATAATATCTCTAAGAACATACATTTTTTTAAATCTTTTTATTCATTGATTTTGTCACTCACACAACATATACAGTATATAGTATAGGCTATATAGTATATACTCAACAGATAGACCTACCGCAGCTCGTATGTAAACAAATCACACGCGGCTGGGTTGATGGCTGATTTAGTCAGGTAGACAGATCCTGACAGCTTTAAGTTATAGCGTTCAGGAACCGTTAACTATGAACTGAATTAATATTGTTATTACTGGTAAAGTTACCGGGTACCGGATATTTTCTCACTGGTTCCCAACTCCCAACATGCACAGTTGCACACGCACACACATCTATGCAACTGTCATTGTAGGCTACGTCAGCGTTACATCATCTCATCCCATCTCACCAACAGTTTAATACTCGCACATCCAAACGTAGTCGGAAAAGGGCCTCGATCGTCTTCTTCTGATCGCATGAACGTTCCGAAACAACAGTCGCGGTCATAAATCAGCCGCTCACGAACCTTGCCATTGCCGCCAATTATCCACTTTGTATTGAAATGTCTTCTTTTACTTTTCTTTTTCTCATCCTCATCTTTTTGTTGGTTGTTTGTTTCAGCTGGCTTCTTTACCTCAGTAATGTGCCGCCACATTTTAGCTAAAGTCAAACGCAATGGCGGACTTAGTTGAAATGTAAAAATCCTAATGAATCACTCAATTCTCATTGGCTACCTGCCAATGTGGCAGGTAGATTGACAGTGTTACCCGCCAATAGGAAAATTCACCCGCATTTGGCAGGTGGTTGGGTGTTAATTTCAGGCCCTGCTGCCGTGAATAAGGCCTATAACGCTTGCTTTGAAAGCAACCCTGACCTTTGAACGTAGAGCGATTTCTGAATGAGAAGGAGGGCCTTGAACCTCCGCCAAGAATGAACATGATCCTCATATCTGGAGACTTAGCAAACGTCTCTGCATTCTTCAGTTCTCTTTATTTTTCCATCGGGGTAAAATGCAGTTGCTGAACCTACAGGTGCAACAATCTTTAAATATTAGAAAATTATAGAGGAACATAAATCAAAGAGGTTCAGACTCATGACCCTAAGTAATAAAATGAATCCCTAACTCAACCTTTATCAGTCTAAGCAGCCTTGTAAGGTGTGTGTAGAAGTGTGTTACATCTCGTCTGTGTGTGTATGTGTATTCAGGATCTGACTGATGAACTCGCCCTGGTGGACGTGATGGAAGATAAGCTGAAAGGAGAGGTTATGGACCTGCAGCATGGAAGCCTCTTTCTCAAGACACACAAGATAGTGGCGGATAAAGGTCAGATTTCATAATCTTCTATAATATTTTACTTCTATTTTTAAAGGTTCTATATGTAACTTTTTTTTTATAAAATGAATCCTTTTTTTATTGCCTGTGTTTGAAGGGGTTGTAATCACACATTGCAATGATCCACTTGTCGGGTTTTGCTATTACCTCTCTGAAGGCCAATTTTCATATTTATAAGTGAGGTCTCCGGGTCGGATTCCCTGCGAAATCCATCAGATGTGACGTGCATGCGCGCTCCTGAGCCTCTCTATCCAGTCAACCATGTCTCTATCCAGTCTCTATACAATCAACCATGCGACCAACGGCACTTGAGCTGACGACATGGAGTCTGATAACAGCCCAAAACGTCCTGCCTCCAGCACAACACAGACTCCAACACAAACTCCAAATAAATATAAAAAACAAAAACAGTTTTATCTGCCCAAGCTCGTCAGGCAAAACGTGAATCTGATCGACTCCGGACGAAAACGCGGATCAACATAGTAAACTCTAGTGAAATAGCAAGGTAAACTACATGAAACATGACATGAATACAAAAGAATGTTCCAGGATAACAAAAAGTCGGTGCTTTAGGATGTAACTTATTTTATTTACTAGATCTACTGACTAACGTCACTCATCCCACTACTAGGCTATCATATTGTTTATACACATTTCCAGACATGTTCAGTACAGTAATGTTACTTCTTACGATCTTACTGATAAACTGAAACTGTTCAGTTTAGTTCAATAACCGTTTTCGTTATCATATTATACATTCACCTGTGTTGACATTGCTGATTGTGAAAAATACACGAAAATAGTTAGTGAAATGGCTTATAACATCACATGTCGGCTAAATGCAGTTTATTGTAACATTATCATGGTACGAGCACAGAGCATTAGTTCAACGTCAAGCTGATAAAAGTAGGCTATTATTATACCTGCAGTTTACATTAGTTTCCAGCATGTTGTGTGATTATTTCGCCGTTGCGTTGAAAGTCTCCGTGTGGCCGGTAGTGACTGCTCGCTCTTGAGATCTAGAACGCACACGAGCACGAGCGCTCTTGTTGCATTCTGAAACATCACCGCTAGAGGCCGCTAAAAATCGCATACAGCACCTTTAAATAAATAGTATAATAAATCTTTTAATGAGGGGGGAAGAGTAACACGATCGATGATAAGGAGTAGACGGCTCGATTGGTGCCGATTTGGTAATAACGTACCAATGAGGTGACCTAGATACAAAATAATTATACCATTTATTTAAAATAGTATATTCTGTTTTTTATTAATATTCTGGGCCAAACGTTTGTTTTTGAACACGCCACAAAGACTATTGTGTAGAGGCTTGTTCTCTTACGAGAGGTTCTCTCGTATTGCGTAAGCTAGCTTACGCTACGGGAAAGATTCATCTTTGCTAAGAAGTTGAAGCCAAAAAATTATTCCATAACTTTGTAATCATTGTCAATGCAGTATCTCTGAGGCAGACCATGAGCGGGGTAGCTAGCAGCTCATTGGTTCGCTCAGAGAAAATGCACGAACCTATGGGAGAGCAGCGCTGAGCCCGCGGCCAATGAGCGGACGGTGCTCGCTCATTGCGTCAGAGCCCGCCGTCACGGGCATCGTTGACCGCTTCTCCGAGGTACAAAAAGCCACCCAGGCCATGAACTTGTTCCTGCCCCGCCGCGCCAGCACTTCTGCAGGCCGCTCTCACGAGCCTCCTGCCAGAACCCCGCAACAGCGCCCACCTCAGCAAGCTCAGCAGCCCCAGCGTAGACAGGGCGGCCGCCCTCGCTCTCGCTCTGACAGCCGCCGCAGACAGCCTCCTCCCCGGGGGCCTCGACCCAAGATCACGCTGAAGCCTGATCAGCAAAAGTCTGCCTAGCACAGCTGAGAAAAAGACGGCCCTCTCCCGCTGCGGCCGGACCGCCGTCAAAGTTTCGTCCTCTGCTAGTCCCTGACGCCTCGCCGACTACAGTAGTGTTTACCGCCACAAACAAGCCGGTTCCCATGCCCGCTTGCGAGCGACAAAAAGCTGTTTTCACGGCTACCCAGAGAGTTCACAAAAAGAGCATAAAAGCCTCAAGTGTAAAAAATGTGCCAACAAGCATGTGTTCACGCATACACGCAAGCACAATATGCCCCGTGTCTCCCACAGAGCCCATTCTCACAGAGCGGCCACTGACCGCTCTAGTAGCAGAAAACATAAACACGCCCACGAGCCCGTGCACGTGTCCCCCCTCTGCTCGCTCCGTCTCAGTCCCGTTGCCACACACATTCTAAGCGCGCCCACACACAGTGTCCACCCGCTATGTGCAGCAATCAGGGCAAAATTGCCATTCAACCGCTAGCCGCATGCTGCGAAGCGTGGGAAGCCATCCCCGGCATCTCCCCGTGGTTTCTAAGCATCATAAAGAATGGCTATCTATTACAGTTTCGTCGCCGCCCGCCCCGCTCGCGCGTTCGGCTCGAATCCGCTGTCAGCCCAGCTGCGATGAACACGCTCCGCTCAGAAATAGCGAAGCTGCTGCAGAAGGGCGCAATAGAGAGAGTTCCGCCATCTACGACCGAGTCGGGGTTTTACGGCCGTTATTTTCTTGTTCCCAAGAAAGACGGCGGCCTCAGGCCGATCTTAGATCTCAGGGTGTTGAACAAAGCGCTCATGAAGAGACCGTTCAAAATGCTCACAGTCAGAAAACTCCTCGCGCACGTCCGCCAGGGGGACTGGTTCATCTCTCTACACCTGAAAGACGCCTATTTTCAGATCCAGATAAATCCTCGTCACAGGCCATTCCTACGTTTCGCCTTCGAGGGTCAAGTTTACCAATATGCCGTTCTCCCGTTCGGCCTATCCTTAGCACCCCGAACGTTCACGAAGTGCATGGATACAGCGCTCGCTCCCCTGCGGAGTCAGGGGTTGCGCATTTTAAACTATCTGGACGACTGGCTGATTCTGGCACAATCTCAGACGGAGCTTCTGTCGCACCGCGCAGTTCTCCTCAACCATCTGAAAGCGCTGGGACTCTCTGTCAACTGGACAAAGAGCTCTCTCCAGCCCAGTCAAACTATTTCATTCCTGGGAATAGATTTGAACTCTATCACGATGAAGGCTCGCTTATCCACACAGCGCGCGCACCGTGTTCAGCGTCTAGCCGCCTCCTTTCGGATGGATACCCACACATCCCTGAAGTCTTTTCAGAGGATGCTGGGTTATATGGCCTCAGCCTCCGCTGTGCTACAGCTGGGTCTCCTGCACATGCGCCCCCTTCAACTCTGGTTAAAGAGCCGGGTATCCCACCGCGAGTGGACTACGGGCCGCCAGATTATCAAGGTTACACAGACATGTATCACTGCGCTGCAGCCATGGTCAGTAACCGATTGGTTTCAGAAGGGCGTTACCATGGGAACCTTTTCTCGCTGAAAAGTCATCTCGAAAGATGCATCCAACACGGGTTGGGGTGCAGTCTGCGAGGGCTCACCGGCCGCCGGCCAGTGGTCAAGCCAGGAGAGTTCCCTACACATAAACTGTCTGGAAATGATCGCGGTCGAGGTCGGCTGCTGTTTTTCCTCCCGCGCATACACGGTCACCACGTCCTGATTTGCTCAGACAATATGGCCGTGGTGTCCTACATCAACTGTCAGGGCGGGGTCAGATCCAAGAATCTCTTTCATCTCACGCGCCGCATCCTATTGTGGTCCCAGAGTCACCTGCTTTCGCTCAGAGCGACGCACGTACCGGGCCATCTGAACGACGGTCCAAACATGCTGTCCAGGAACCTTGTCTCCCCCGGAGAATGGTCCCTGCACACTCAAACAGTTCTAACATTGTGGCGCCTATTCGGCAGAGCAGAGATAGATCTTTTCGCGTCAGAAGAGAACGCTCACTGCCTGATATTCTTTTCGAAAAGAGCGAGGACGCGTTAGCCCAGGAGTGGCCCATTCCAATCAGACAGCCCCGTGGCCCATTCCAATCAGAGCAGATCTCCTCACTCAAGCTCACGGCACGATCTGGCATCCCAATCCACAGTGCTGGGCGCTTCATGCATGGGTGACCAACGACTACTCGTCGACTTGCCAGAAGGAGTTCTGAACAAGATCAAACATGCCAGAGCGGAATCTAATTGAAAGCTCTATGCTGCAAAATGGTCGGTGTTCTCTAGATGGTGCACCGACAAAAATTTGGACCCACGGACGTGCGAGGTTTCGTCTTTGCTCGTGTTCCTTCAGGAGATGCTGGATAAGGGCAGGTCCCCATCCACTCTAAAGGTTTACGTGGCAGCCGTCGCGGCGTTCGCTGAACCCCGGCGCGCCCAGTCTTTGGGCAAAGACGAGCTAATCATCCGCTTCCTCAGGGGAGCCAGAAGGATGAACCCCCTCGCCCCCCCAAGGTGCCGGTCTGGGATCTTTCTATAGTTCTAGAAGCTTTGAAAGCCCCACTGTTTGAACCACTCGAGTCTGTGGATCTAAAATACCTCTCGCTAAAAAACGTTTTTCTGACTGCCCTCGCCTCAGTAAAACGCGTGGGGGACATTCACGCGCTGTCTTCAAGCGCTGTGTGTCTTGAGTTTGGACCTAATGACTCCATTGTCATTCTAAAACCTAGACACGGTTATGTTCCAAAGGCGATTGTTACCCCCTTCAGGGCGCAAGTGATTTCTCTATCGGCGCTGCCTGCATCCGATAGCGAACGTGACACTGATCGCCTCTGCCTGGTCCGGGCTCTGAGAGTGTACACCACACGCGCTGCTGCGTTCAGACGCTCGGAGCAGCTGTTTGTGTTGTTCGGCGGCCGCACCAAGGGTTTAGCAGCCTCGAAACAGACACTGTCTAGGTGGATAGTGGATGCTATTGCTTCTGCTTACGCCTCTAAAGACCTGCCTTGCCCGTTGGGCGTCAGGGCTCATTCCACCAGAGGCATGGCCTCATCGTGGGCATGGTCCTGCGGAATTTCTATTCACGACATTTGTGTGGCTGCGGGATGGGCCTCCCCCTCCACTTTTGTCAGATTC